GCTTCTTTCCTATGCAATGTCAGCTACTTTTTACATCTGAGAGACGGCAAAACTAATGTTATTAATGACGTGAGATCAATTTGCTTGTACTTCTTTTTTCTTTGCTTCAGTGAGTCGCATAAACCAAATATGCGTTTTTGAACAATGGATAATAGGATTAATAGATAGCCACGTGCAATGTAGAGGAAGACCTAATCAATTTAGATAGTTCAGTCAAATGACCAAGATAAAAAATTCTCATTTCACATCATCGATGTACTAACAGCAGTTGTACAGCTTTAGAGCGTCATCCCTGTTTTTTATTTCAGTTTACCTTTTCTGTTACTCATAACAACATCGTCAGCACGGCATCTTAAGACAAAATTGCTTCTTACAAGTGCAGCTACATTACTGAGCATACATGCACGGAATGAAACTGAGCTAAATAAATCTGCCAACTTTTCAGGTGTTTCACTTAATAAGGGCGAATGATTTTTGGTCATACTGAAAAGAGGAGTAGTCCATACTGTTACATATGCTCATGTGAATCATAGCGATATAACTATATTTCGAAGCTTGAGATGAAAACAGCTTCTTAGCTCTTAGCAAAAACATGGAGGTTTGCTAGAAAACACTCGCACAAAGTATTGGTGTCAAACCATGACAATCTAGAATCTTGTCGATCTTCGTATGCTACCTCTAACTCGGAACAAAAATATCGCGATTTTCTAGCGTGAAAGCTTTTGCTTGGCTTGTATAATTCCAGAGTTTTGCTAGTACAATTCCTATCTATCCTATCTACATGTTCTGACCGCTATAGAACTTTTCAGGGTTGAGCGCTAACAATGCTCTGATTTTCCTGACCCTTTGTTTCTTAACCCTATCCAGATTTACAAATCAACTTTCGTCGTCAAAGTTCGATAATCTATGTGTGTACGCCATGGAGATCAATTGACTACCAACATAAACAGAAGCGACTTATCGTTGATACTGTGTAATTAGGCCATAAAATCTTCCAATGCAAAAACACAAACGAATGTTCACTAAAAGCACGCATGTTGAGTGACGCTTCAATAAATGCTGGCAAAGTATCTAGCATGAAAGAACTCCTACTTTTCTTGCTCGATTTTTCACCTTATGCCAAATGTGCATCTAATATATCTATCTCCTCGAAAATATCAGGTGGGTCCGAAAACTCGTGCCATTTTTTAGACCTATTTTCAAATCATTCAGAATCAAGATAGACAAACATTCTAAAGTTCTTTCTCTCCGGCAATGATGTTTTTGACCGGTTTCCTTTGATGCTCACTCAAAAAATCGTGAGAATCAACCCATGGTCGACCTACCTAACTTTCGCAATTTTTCAAATTTTCGTTCTGGACTTCTGGACTCCTGGAAATGCTTCAATAATAGTTGGATAGGGTAAGCATGCAATGTAAAACAATCACTTGGCATCGATAGGTGGCTTTTCAGGTTTTTTAAAGTTGTCAACTTGATGCTATCAAATTTCATACTTGTTTATTCCAAAACTCGTAGGACACCAGACGGCAAACAGCTAGGATGCCATTCGATGCAGCTTCTTCTCCTCTTTTTGAAAGATGTTTTTTTCTGATCCGTAAAGCCCTCGGGAAAAATTGCCATAATTCTAGTTTTATGATGCGTCCCAGGCTGCACACGGAAATTCCAAAAATCAAAATCTCGAGGCGATAGAAACTTTGCTTGTTGAAATTAGTTTTTAACCATAATCGATTCTTGGAAGTTCTAATTCGCGAAGATTTTATGATATTCAAAACGTTTGTATATTTTAAGACTTCGCAAATGTAAAGACTTATGGTAAATCTGCTTAAAAATACTGAAACTCCAGCTATCAACGCCAAAAATTGCAGCATTTTATTTACTCTATCCAACTGTTGAAGCTTGTTCAAATGTCCAAAACAAAAATTTCACGAAAATAGCCAAAGTCAGGGGACGTAAAACGCGTGGTTTAGAAGATTGTCGGGATTATTCAAAAAACTGTGAAGGAATCCGAACAAAAACATCATTGGCGGAAAGAGAGAGAGAATCTGCATAAAAAATGCTTAGAGTGTTTGTCCATCCCTATTCTGAATGATTTGAGGATAGGTCTAAAATAGGAACGAATCCGAACCCACCTAGAACAAAAAGCTTGTGAAAATTCGAGAAACCCTATCTCCAGCAAGTGATGTCAACGCACCTCAACTTTCTAGTACTTTGCGCAGTATTTTGCGATGATTTTTGCAATGGTGCCGTTTTTGCTGTACAAATGCGAGCGTTTAGTAACTGAGCAGCATAACCCACTATAGCTTTGTTGCTTGCGTCAGTAGAACTACTGTAACGAATAACAGATGTGTTCACAAAACGTCTGACAGTTGTGTAAATGTAATGACCTCAATAGCGGCTTAGCCAATAAATTTTTAGCATTGATTTTGAAAGCGTTAAGCGATAACATAGAACCGATAACGACGAATATAGGGTTTTTTATGATTAAGCCATGTTTTCTAAGATTTAAGCTCATGAGATAGTTCTTTCCAATCGTGTTTATGAGCGCAATGTAAGCTATTGGAAGCAGCAAATCTGGCCTTACTACACTACTACACAAATTCGCTGCGAATATTTCTATCTCAAATTTGCCATTTGCAAAAAGGTACTTAGGCACAGCGTGACTTACCATCAAATGTAACAGGGTCATACAAGCTTTGCTCGGTCTAACAGATCGCGATCTTGTAGAGCAATAAAGTTTGTGTTGGATTTTGTGGAGAAAATGTTGCAAAAACATCGAAAGTACATGTTTCTTTGGCATCTCGGTGAAGGCAAAAAACAGCCTTTTTGAGATTATTTGAGTTTTCTTCAACAGGAAACCTTGCCGTTTTTACGATTACTTGTACTAGCTCTACTTAAATTATATGGACTGACAGTTCTACAATCGTTTTTCGCTTAAGAATCTATACAACATAGAATGTAGCGAATAACAAAGTTCGAAATGAGTTTGCCCGCCTCAGAATTTTCTGATAAACTAATTATATTATAGTTAGCGTTTTGTAGCCTTACTATGACTGTTTTTTGAACAAATGTGATGTTTTCTTATGGATTTAGAGCAAAAAAGTTTTGTACTTTAGCCCCTCTCTGAAGTTATGCAACTCCGTTTCTAACAAAAATTTGCGAGCGAAAGCATATATAAGAACAGAAGAAAGGTGCTTTTGCATATTGAAGAAGTCTTCAAGAAGAATGTTTTTATGACAAACATGAGTGAATAGTTAGGAAACGCGTGCATTAGCTATGAAACAACCCATTGTTTTACGCTGCGATTATGCTTTCAAATGTTTAAAATTACAATAAAATAGTTTCACCAATATTTGCTAGAATATGCTATGAACACAGCCATTCTACAGAATATGAATTTGATGATCGCTCTTCCGGTTTCAAAAATAAGTGCAAAAAAGATCGGAACGCCTTTGGCATTGCAGTGAATGGTATCACTTCTTGAGAGGATGGGGTGTTGAAATGAACCGAAGGGAGAAATGAGTAGGGATGAGAGGAACGTTGCTAAAAGGACATGGATAATCTAATAGAAATGTCTAGATTTCAATAGCATTAGCTTGCATTCTTTGCGTGCAAACATGCAAAATGCCGAGAGCAAGCAAACTTGCTAGCATAACTGAAGATGGATATACCATAATTCGATATATAGCGGTAAATGAGGAAACGCTGATGTTGAAGTGCTAAAGTATATGTTATTACTTACGCCTGGTTAATATGAAGGCTAGCACATTAAACACTGTAAATTCCTCTTCAATGAATATACTAACTGTGTAGTAAGTTCGTTCGCAATGTAGGATTTTTTTTCAGCATTATTGTTCACGTGTTCGGAAGCTCCAAGCCTGTTTTGAAAAAGCTGTTCCCGTTGTTTAATCGATCACAGAATGATGGGGAAAAATTTAAGTTCAAATCAAGAAATCCGAGATGGCAAAGATTTCGTTTTTGACAGCTGCGCTACGGAGCGTCGCAAATGGGTTGAGCGTTCAGAAAACAACTCGAAAAATTTGCGACGTATATGGATAGAGTGAGTCATGGCTCCCACAGATTATCATAAATGTCATGTTTCACAAATTCAAATCGTAAGATGGGTCTACTATTCGGCACCTGTTCGGCGTCAAAGTTAGGCGTCTGGAAGCACCCTGAGAGACAATGGTAGCAGAACAATGCAGGAATTGGCAGACAAGCTGGTTTATGACTGCAAAATCATCAAATCTACGGATTACTTAATCCAGAATCCAAATTTTGGTGATACACAACTCATGTGTGCGAACAACGAAACCTTTGCGACAATGTCTTGCTCAGCCGGTGATCGGTGAAAGGAATTGAGCAAATGTGTACAAAAGCAGTATCTGCATAAGTGAATAGTGTGTTGTTATGTTTGCTGTCAAGCTTTTTAAATAAACACGAAAAAGAGAAAAGCTGCAACGGAAAAAATTGTCGATAAAATTTTCGGTTTGTAATCGAATTATTTAGCTTATTGCGAACTGAAAAATCAATGATAAAATTTGGAGAGCAGACTTAGAGCTTCCGAACGCATACAAACATTTTGCGGAATGCTTTGCAGATGAGAAAAGCTAAAATAAAAATGCCAGCATATTGCACAACACAATAAGATATTATCAGATGCTTCGGAGTGGAACCTAGGTATATGAGATTTGCGCCGTGCCGCAAAATTGCGTTGGTCCCTCTTGTCTCAAATATAATTTCACAGCGAACTAGAGGTGACAATAGAGCTTTAGTTGTCCATGTGGGAGTCAAAAAACAAATCATGTATCGTTTATAGGAGAAGAAAGTTGTGAGCATTTTTCTTGCTTCCCGTTGTAGTAGCAAGACTATTTTGATGCATGAGAAGACAGAAGAGCGAATCATGACTTGTGATTTTATTCAGAAAAGCATCTAATCTTCTGAATTTCGAAGAAAACTCCAGCTCGAAAAACTCAACCGAGGATTTGAAGAATGCAACTTACGGAAACATCTTTGTTATCTGCTGCTGTTGTTGGCGGATCCCATGCAGAACCAGCCGAGCTCTTAACCGTGCCGCATCCATTGTAGCGATGCTGAAGTGAAGCTCCGGTGACGGCAATCAGAGGAAATCCAGGATCCAATAATGCAAACATGTAGTCGACGGATACAGACAAATCCCTCTGTATGTACCAATGTCCCATGACGATTTGTCCGCAAGTCGATCAATGGCTGACATCGTGATTTGTGTAGAGCATATGCCATAAAGTAAATGTTCAACATTTGCTCTTTGTTACCATAAATTGCAGCTTTTAGGCAAAGCACAATTTTGACCACATTGCGAATGACTGAAACGCCTACAAATTTCCTTCTATTTTCAAAATATTATGCATGATTTTCTCAGGTATGAACGAGTCTAACAACTTAAAGCGTAAAAATCTATTGATGCCTCATATCCAACTTGAGCGTCAAAATTTCCATGAGTCTTCATTAATGCAAGAAGTTCGACACATGTCAACTTTTCACCATGTTTGGTTTTTTGTTTTTGTTCTTCTCACCCTTTAAGTAGGAATGTCTCCTCGCTGACCTGAACTTCTTCAAATTGATGAATTCCTGATTTTTGAGATTGTGCCTGTTGTTTAGGACGCCATCTTTTTTCGGAATAAACTTATTCAGCAAATGACTACAAAGAAAATTTATTAGTACTTTCAAGTAATGCAGTGTTATTCACATGGCTGTTAGAATTCTTACGCTCACTAACTACATAGTTCGGCTATGTCGATTCCGAATTTTATAATCTTTTATTTATATGCAGACATACAATTTTCAAAAAGCTCCATCACAACATGGAGTTCCATATCTAGCCATTAAATTCACGTACTCTTCTCTTTACAAACTTCGCAATTTTTCTCGAATCTGAAGTTTTTGGGTAACTTTTTGGTGTACGATATCAACTGCTTGAGGAGGATATAAGTCAATACGAGTTAGTTTCCCCGTTGATTCAGAAATCACTTTGTCTTTTGCCTCTCTCCCCTCGTTTCGAAAAAAGAATCCAGACTTGAAAAGGTTGCGAAAATGCTGTCGTGCTTGAGGAAGCCGTTAGTGCTCGAGTATTGTGAACGTCGAATTAGCAAAACAAAACGGGTAGGGATCTTGATTTTTGCCTTTGCAATAATTCCTATGTTGTGAGCAACTGTATCATAAGGTATTACTAGTTGGCACGGTTCGCAAGCAACGAGCATCGTTGTACCAGAAAATTATTACTATGAATAACTAGATCCAATTTTACACTCGCATTCAAGCCCTTGTTGCTATTGTCATTCCCATGTTGCGGATGTTCATTGTGAACAAAACTTTTGTCTGCTTTTGTTGCTTTCTAGAGTCGATGTAGCAATGTTACACATGTGATGATGATTACCACTGACAGACATCGTTGACCAGGGAAAGTTTGTCCCGTACTCATCGACATCATTGAGTAATCTTTGGAGTCTGATAAGGTTTGACTATAACCTACAAATATTGACTAATCTAATCAAATCACTGCAAAAAGGCCTTTACAATGGCTGAGTCCTTTAAGCTTTTTTGACACAGGAAATCAGTGCTTTGTAAAGGCATCGTGCGCGCTTTCTACATAGGTGATTGTAAAGATAAAAATAGGAGAAGAAGATAACTCGAGATTCTATCATCGTAAAATATGTCTTCAATAATCTCGATATTTGTAATAAGATTTATGGCCCTATGGTACAAACCTCCCAGTTCAAGAAAGAACTTTTTTGAACTTTTTTGCGGAAGGTGCTTTTTTTCAAATGAACTGTGCAGAGTGTAATTCTGTACTTTTATATGTTTTTTCATACACACGTTCAGGTTTACTACGGCCTATTACTTTCTGTAGTTTGTGCTGATCAAACATTACCTAAAGGAGTCAGAATTTGAAGGTGAACGACGAAATATAACAGATCATGTAATCGTCTTTCTTTGAAATTAGGCTTTTCATCAGAGCTCATAATTTTGAGAACTTCTATAGCTTAGAAAGCTGAGGATTAATCAATGCTCACTTAGGAATGCTCAACACGGAACCTGTATCACTGATAGTTTCGGATTTTATGCAGCGTGATTTTTGACGATCTCTCTCAAAACAATCAAAATTCGAAACTTTCTTCTCTCATTTTATCTTTTTACATCCTTGTAGAGAGCCAGTAAAGTACCTTTTCAAAGTGCACTATTTTGCCGCTCTGATTAATGTTAAGCAAACACGTATAAATGGCAGATAGTAACGAAATTTCAAGATTTCAACATGAGCGATCGAGCTTTCGATATTAGCCTATCACCAACGCTATCAATCGGCGAAAATTGATCTGCATATCCCAGGACTTCCCTTCTGAAAAATACCACAGGTGAACAAATGAGGTTATTCCCTAGACATTGAAATCAATACCAGCCGCAAATTCGTATTTGTATTCTAGCTAAGTTCCATAAAAACAATTTGAGCTTTCTACAGATTTCGATTAACAAACCTTGTAAATGTGAGCAAATTCGCAAGAACCAGTACAAGTAACAAAGATTTGTTACCATTTCAAAATAGCTTTGTGAAATAAACGCCGACGATATACGGAGCAAGACCGCTTCCTAGCACAATGGATACGCATCTAACGAGTTCCCTTCGCCATGCCAAACTCTTTCAGTCTAAAAATATCGTTTCAAAAGTATTCTAGCACCTTATCATCTCAGATTATGCACATTCCAACTCACGGTTACCATGCTTCGCTACACCAAAACTCTCAAGCTCAAGATGCACAATTAACGAATATATCAAAAACTTTCTACTATACTTAATCGTCTTCATAGGTTAACTCAAGACTCGGCACGAACTGAAACCAGGAAATTTGCAAAACGAAGTCCCCCTTCAACTTTGCAAAATTTTGGAAAGACCCCTTTGATATCTTTCGCAGTCTCCTCCTACTCTCTACTCGTACTTTCTTGTGTTTGGGAAGTCCGAAAACGGAATTGTTTTATGAACGACTAAACCTGGAGCTTATCAAATTTCTTTATCCCTCTTCAGGCGTGCCTTTTGATTCGTGGTTGAAGCCTACCCACCGATCCGCCGCTCCTTCCTTCCATCTTCCCGCCTCGCCTTCCACCTTCCTCAACCTTATCCTCCACATTTTCTCTCCCCTCTTTCCCTACTTCTCCGCCTATCCCGCATCCCTTCATAAATACTGAAAAAAAAAGGCAAATACAACGAATGTTCGATATGAGATATGCGCGCGTTCATTTGCTTAGAGCACGCTCATGTATGGAGCGGCATAACGCCACCACCGAATTCTTCTGAGGACCATGAAGCGTAGAGATATGAAACCGTAATGTGCTAATATGAAAACCCCTACATGTGTGAGCAAAGGGCTGGATCCAGCGTTCCGGAACCTCCCCGGCTAATTCAAACAAAGTTTGGTGTACGGCCTTCATCCACATAACCCCTAATTCCGGTCATAGCTCAAGTCCCCTAACGCGCTTGTGCAGATCAAATCTGGTGTCATATCATTGCGTATGATGGTGAACAAGACATTGTTTGGGGCACCATTTTTGAATCTCCGCGCTGTTTGACGTGTTAGGGCGTGGAAGTAATACCCGTCTTGATTAGTTAGCCCGGAATGGACAACTTCTATGATGTAGGGTCTAATTTCGCTGTGCTTTCACAAATTTTTCTAGCTCTTCGCCCCGGACAGTAAAAACGTTCCCCTTTTTCCATAACAATATCGAATTTGACCAGATTCTGTTTGTTCACCATTTTAGGCTCTTCGTAGATTAACTTATCTTGGAGAGTTTCCGATTTGTCAGAATCGTCGATGATTTCATCCAGTAAGTACAGAATGATGTCATCCTTGCAATAGCGGCACTATTAACCTGCTGGAGAGCATAATGGGAATGTTTAAAGCATTAGCAAACTTTGTAGTCGATCATCGTTCATCTCGGGGGATATTTTCACGGCTTGTGTAAACATCAAAATTATTCGCACTCCTAATTGAGTAAGCATCGGGCACATTGCAAGCTTTTTTGCAAATTAGAATAAGCTTAGGTGGCAAAAAAAAATCAAGCAAATTAGTAGACTGTTAGTGAATAAATCGAAACTGGACTTATGTTTAATGAAAGCTTTGCTTCGTACTTACAACAGTTATACGGTAATTGTTAACCAATATACCACTTTCAATGGTTAAAACAATGCTAATACAGTTAAAATTTGTTGTCTGCTGGCGACACGGGTACCTCCTCGTCGGTTGTCGTAGTCGAAGGAGTTGTGCTTGAGGTAGTGGTCGATTTGTTAGTGGAGGTGGATTTCTCGCTCGCCTTTGTTGAACTCTGAGTAGTACTTTCTGGCGTAGTGGACTTAGCGGTTGTCCGTTCTTCTTCGCTGGAATCGCTCGAAGACGACGAACTCTTATTCTTCCTCCGCCGCTGTAAAACAAGATTTGAGGAAAGGTGTAGGTAGAACGGCCTCAAAACGCATCCAAAGGATTGACTCTTATTAGAATATTTGAACAAATATTTGAAAAATAAAATATTATTAAAAATAAAATGTTTAAATATTCAAAATATTCAATATTTCAAATGAAAAACTTAGTACCCACATCTATGACTTCCAGACGCTGATTTTCACTGCCGTAGACGAAGAAGATCATTAGATATGTGCAAATTTAGTGACTGTTCTACAAGCACTCTTTCCAACTTACTAACTTCCAAAATTTTTTTATCTCGCCGTAAAATCTGTGTAATATTCGGGGGCTCCTTCCATGCTAATTGTAATTATAAATGAAAACAGATTTCTCCCTTATCGTCGCATTTCTACTGAAGCTGAGACACCGCTTCTGAAGAATTCCACGCATTTACTTTCTTGGCCTGCATCCAATCGCAGATAATCACATTCTTTGCGGAACTGTAGATTTTTGGTGCAGGTATTTTCTGTTGCACACTTAATCAAATAATATGCGAAATTATTTAGACTGAAAACTGACCCAAGACGATATTAGCTAAGGGCCTTCTATGGCCCAAAAATTTTTTCAGTAAGAGGCAATCATCAAAGCCCTCATTTTTGTAAGTTTATGAGTGCATCACCTTGTTGACACTTATTGCAAGGGAAGTAGCTTTTTGCTCAAATGATAGGTCTGAGAAAAAAATTTGCACTGTCTGGCAGTCGAGTACTGGTATACATGAGAGATAGATTGTAACAATTGATTGATAAGTCATGAGGCTGCAGTACCTTTTCTAACATTTCCAGTGTAAAGCTGAAATCAAGATAGTGCCATAAAAATTCTTGAATTTAAGAAAATTGATTTTCAAAAAAAGGATTGCATCAGACTGCATTGTAAGCTGAGACGTGAGCTTATCCGCAAAGAATAGGTTGCTAAATTTTTGTTTTAACTGGGGGAATTATTCTAATGTTTCTCAAATTCAAAAGAAAAATTTTATGAGCCTTCTGAAGGAAAGCTACCATGTTAGTGACTAATCCTCAGACCGAAAAGACTTGATTCCACCTGGCACCGTTACCCTGCCCTGTTGAGAATACCAAAAAGTTAGCTTTGAACTGTACTTTCCACTTTGAATCTGGGCTGAATACAGCAGACACTAGACAGATTTTTTGAAGGTGAAGAAATGAAGAATAATGCACTTTGTCCAAGATATCAACATGAGCCGAATAATTTCACAAACCTTTTCCTTTTGCTTGTCGCGCTTTTCTTTCTCCTCTTCGTTCTGCTTTTCGTCCGTCTCTTTCGCCTTCTCTCTTCTCTTGTCCTCGCTGCTGCCGTCACTGCTATCCGATGAAGAAGACTCCTTCTTTTTCTTTGACTTTGCAAATGCTACAGCGAGTATAGATAGTGCCAGCAATAGGACGATTTTGCTGTTCATGATGAATTGCGACGGCAAAACCCTATCGGGCTGTATCGCACAATGGATTTTTATACGCACAAGTTTGTTTGGTTATCAGAAATTTCTCATCCGCCCCTATACTGTCACGCACGCGAGCAATGACTCCACCTTTGGCCGTGATGGCACGACCATGAAACAATATACACACAATTACGGTGTGTCGAGTCTGTGCGAAATAAGTTCTTTTCTTCATTGTCAGTACTTTCAGTTTATTGACAATTGCTTTGCTGAAGCCCATAATTGATTACGAAAACTGCAAAAAAGTGCAGCGATGCAGGCTCCATCTATAAACAAGGTCACAGATTGGTTGCGATGAACAGTGTACACTGGTTTTTTGTAAACTATTCGACGAAATGTGGTTGGTGTATTGCGTTGCACTCTTGGCTGGATGATTTTCGTGAAACAGCAGAAAATTTTGGGTTGGTCAAAACGTCGAGAACCATACTATAGAACTTGTAACATCGCGTTTTATTAGTTTTGCAAATGTATCCAGACTGTCTGATTTCTGGGCGTTCAGAGTTCAAACTACAATAGAAACCATGCTTAATTATGTAAATATCTAATGACCCTACATCGATACACTCCAAGAATTGATACAGCTCATATCAATTATCTAATCTCTGAATTTCAAGCTTAAGTACTCTTTGGTAGTTCGTTACATTGCCTTATCAGCAACTAAAAAGATGTACATAGTCTAGTATAGAGTATTTATATTCTAGTATGTAGTCTGTTACAGTTTGATGGACAGTTGTGCCTCTACAGTGGCATATTGTGGTGAAATTACAATTAAATTAATTAATCAATCAATTAAATTACAAGATCATTAAAGGCAGAGTACAGACAAAATCTATGCTACCCAAGCATCTACCTACTGTAAAAGCAGACCTCAGGAGGAGGGCATCTGCATTTCTCCGCTCCTCCAACTTCCTCGGAATGGAGAAAATAGACCAGAGGCCCGCGAATGCTACCAAGCTACGCCCACCCTACCAAGCTCTGCCCAAAAGACTAAAGCCGCTTACGCCTTCAGGGCAGGGTTCTCGGAAATCGGGTTTTGGGGGGTTTCGCAATTCATATGATCAAGGCTACGGAGAGGGCACACAGTGACACAAATATGGAAGTTCAAATTTGGGGTGAATGCTGCTTCTAGACTGAGAAATTGTTCATAGAAAATTCAAAACGCTGATTCCACCTTTCCACGAAGCGGTATTCCTTGCACATAAGCATTAAACGACAGTGCAAGAGCATCATATATTATAGTTTGTAAATCTACCAAACTAATCCCGGACGATAGAAGCATGCAAGTGAACTAAGAAGTTGTAAACATCTTGCATCTGCGCCATCTCTTCGAGGTGTCTTTGAACGATATGTAGTCGTTGTTTCGACCAATTTAGCTTTCATCAAAATTGTTTTAACTTTTATCTGGCTATCGTTTCGCCTCCGACTTAGTCGGAGCCTGCATTCTCTCGACGTTTGTCAAGTTATACCACTAAACTTACTTTTTTTCAGATTGTTTCAACTGAGAATTTCGCTGAACAATTTACGGCTGCTGCAAAGAATTCAACCAATGCCGATCAGATTCCATCAACGCGAAAACAATTACATCCACTACCATTGCGAACAAATCAAAGCTAAACAATGTACAAGAATAGCATATTTCTACATAATAATTTGTTTTTAGAACAAAAGCGTGAAAAACCATTCCTGTACTTTCAGTGCAGAAGATACATCTGCATTTCAGTACCATCAATGATCGCTGTCCATAAACAGTATTCACCCTACATAGAGGGTGAATAACGCAAACTGTTCAATCGTTTGATAACTCTCTTGCTCTGATGTCTTTCGGCAAACTTTAGGTACCATTCTGTAGGGCGGGTTCAACTTAGATTCACAATAAAGAACGAATCTCCGATATTTCTTCATTATTGCAGGATTATAATAAAAACTTTGGAGAGAGTTCAAGCCGTTAAAAATCGCATTTTGCCTCAGAAAGAAGGTCAAGCAAGCCCAGAACTCACATGCTGGGTAAATCAGCGTTGCTGATTTCGGGTATGAGTTTTGCACGCCGCGGTTGTCTTCCTTCATATGTTGTTTCAAGAAAATCGACTGCCTCTTCAAAATTCTTGAACTTTTCTTCAAAATTCGATTACACCTCTGAAAAAGTCCGGAAATTGTAAAAAGTTGCATAATAATTTCAGCATGCTTGCGAACCCTGCTGCACAGTTTTCCAGATTTTTTCTGAAGTTTTTTCATCAAACGGCCTTATTCACAACTCTTATACTGAAGTTCATTCCGTAATCCTACAGTGACGAAGAAAGAACGGAGATTCTTCTTTTGAGCTTGTTGAGCGTCGACCAAGATATTAACAACACTTTATTCACGGCCAACGTTTCGGCGGGATCGCCTTCGTCAGAGCCTAGAAAGTCGAAAACATAAGTGAATATTTATGGAGATTCTTCCACACTGTGTATAATTGTAAGTTGATACCAGCTCTACGGAATGATAGCTAGGAATCGGCGAAAGACATCGATGCAAGCGAGCATTAATGACCAGCGGTGTGCACATTATTTTGAGACATCCTGTACATGCAAACTTCCCAGAACGGAGGACGGCAGAAGGAACCGAAGGCCTAGCCGCGCCATCTGCAGGAGATAATTCAGAGCGCGAGCACTGCGGAGGAGATTTGGCCAGGATCCAATAGAACAAGAAACTTCGAGAGAAGTGTTTGTAAAACGATTCCTCGTGACTTTGCTTGGGAAACCGATTGGGACATAAGTTAAAGCAGTTTGAAGTCTACGTTTCAAGGCGCATTTGTTGAAAGAAGCAGTGAAGGCGGGAGACTGTCAATTTTCAATCAAAATGAGCACACACCTATCCTTCTGGATTGTCAGAAAATCTGAGACAAAACATCTTTGAGATGTTACTTTTAAGCAAACACTTGTTGCAGAATTCCTTTCAAGATATCTGAATGTCACGAAACCGAGTGCCAATTCGTCTCGCAGCTAAAGAGCTGTAACGAGCCTTTTTCTAAGCATAAAAATTATTATGTATTCACAAAGCAGCATTTGGCATCCAAATTCCAGCATTCAATTTGTATATGCAATATAGTGAGAAAGCAATCCTTATGCTGTGCATACTATGGAACTCAAATTCTTTCAGTTCTCACTTAGTTCACTCAGTTCTTTCAGTTCATTTCAATTCTCAGGGTTTGCCAATTCTTGTTCGCAAACCCTGAGTACATTCTTTGGAACGCCTTGGTAAAGGCGGGGCTATCCGGATTTTATTAGGGTGTGACAGAATCAGTGCAGGTCCTTTTTAAATTTTGAGTTTGGATCATTATAACTTCGTATACAAAGTTTTTTCCTGCACTAAAAATTATTGTAGTCATCAGACATTTGGCATCACAGGATGCATTACTTGTTGTAACTTCATGAGAAAAATCTTATCCTAACATTGCCAGAAATTTTCTTGGAAAAGCTTCACTTTGAAAAACCATAGGGCCGTTGGCACGGTTAAGGTGGGGCGCTCGCACGATTCCTGATTCTCGCCGCTTGCGCGGGGAAGGTTGGCAGCTTGCATGCTGTTGGAGTAGGTTTGTATGGGATATTTTGACCATTTATTTTGGATACATAAATCTTTTTCACATTCTGGGAACATGGGACGATGCCTGCAGCATTGGCCAGACTTTTTGTGGGGAGGTCCACACCATCACTCTTGGTGACTGGGGCCTCACACGGGCTCATTCCAGCCTTGCTGGGAAGAATATTGATAACAAGATACAGTGCTGGCCATAGCTATAAAGCCACCCTAAAAAATCACGGTAATTTGCCCTGTGTCAAACAAAATTGTCAAAAAAACCACCATCCTATTTGTAAACTAACGTTATATCACTGTTCAGAACGGCTCCTAATTTATTGATTTTGGCTGGAGAAAAATTGAAAAATTTGAAAAACGTGTTCCGAAAGCTGGCCATAGCTATAAGGCCATTTCCTATTTACAAGCAATTCTACATCCTTTGAATCTAGAATTTTTTGTGCAGTTACAGCATCAAAATATAAAGCATTTGTTACACCCAGGTGCTGTCGCCTTTTGCAAAGAAAATTTATATTGCATTTTTTGCTTCAAAATGCATAAAAAGTCACATTACTGCAAAAAACTGCTCGTTTACTGAGTTTTCGAACACTTATTCAACTTGGATGAGAGCATTAGGATTTGCTAAGCTTTTAGAATAGATGCTGTTAAGGGCGCTTGGGTCAATCTTGCCTAGTCGCTGATATCAATGAGGGAGCCTCAACCTTACCTTGAGTTAGGCCCGCTTTTTGAGTCGAAAACTCGATTGTCGACGAACGAAAAACTTCTGATCGGAAGTTGGCGCAATATTTGCAGGACGACGCACTAGTGCAAAAGTTGTCAGAACATTTGAAAAGACGCAAAGTCAACGTTGAAGTCAAATTGCTTCATCTGCAGTACAGTTGTGCGCAGTGGATGTAACATGACTCTAAATTTTACTCTTTTCAACTCCTCATCAAGTCATATCTTACGGGACCGTTAGGAACATTAGAATATTAGAGTATTGACGGTTTTTGGTCCGATCGAATGGTAAAAGTGGGTCTTGCTTACCCACAGTGTGATACTGATTTGTGAAGGACCAGTGTTCAAGGCATAAGCGGAAGCCTAAAAGTTGCGATGAAGTTCCGGCAACGCACACAAGTTTATCGTTGTAAAGACGACGCAATGAAAACATAGCAGGGCTTTTCGGACATCGGAACTCAAATTCTGTGGTTCGAAAGCTCATCTACCCGAAGGGGTGGTTGAGGCTCGCTCATTGATGTAAGCAACTACGCAGGACTGACTCAAGCGCCTTTCACATCATTCATAGCAAAAGCTTAGCAAACTGTAATGCCCTCATCCAAGTTGAATAATTGCTCGAAAACTCAGTAAACTAGCAGTTTTTTGCAGCAGTGTGACTTTTTATGCATTTTGAAGCAAAAAATGCAATATAAATTTTCTTTTCAAAAGGCGACAGCACCTGGGTGTAACAAATACTTTATA